GGCAGTGATTGTTCGGGTTTGGATGGGTTTGGCTCCCAAGACTCAAGAGGTTTCCTATGTCGACATGGTGCTTTGTTTTATTTCATTCATGGTCCATGGCTTTCTGATCTATGTTCATTTCTGCCTATTTGAGGTCTTCCTCTGAAAGCCTGGTTTGGGTAAATTACTTACATGTACTTCCCATATTTTGTCCTCTCTTGGAGGGGCAGACATGTACTTCCGAGTACCTTCCTTGCCATGTGGTGTCGATCGCTGCGTTTCCTCCAGGAGGAGGCCATGGAGGTCTTAGAGCGTTTGCTCTCATGGCCCCAGGAGGATCGACACACACGGCGCTCGAGGACCGAGCCGCACGCGGACGTGACCGCGGAACGTGACGTGAAGGATCGAGACATAGACAAAGACCATGATACGTGAAATCACCCAAAGAAGAAGGTGCCAAATTCCCACAGCTAGTTTCCTTTCAACTGTGGTATACCAATGTATACCATATACATGATAGATATGATTATATTGGGCATAATCTGGGCTTTTGACCTGGCAGGGCCACACCAATTGGGGCCCTCCTTCTTGAGGCCTTAAACCAGGCGAACGAACAACTCCGAGCGTGGTCATTGAGAGAGACGCTGGAGGAACGGAACTGGATCGAGGCGGAAGCCCAGACTGCTCGATGGGTATTGTTTGGGCCCCTCTACATGGACTCTCAGTACCAGACTCTGCTCTAGACTGCCTTAGCCAGCTCTTTGTCTGGAAACGCCGAATGTAGACTGTTGATGAATCAAACAGCCTTTGCAGACATGGATTGTATTGACAGGAGGTTGAAATATAATCTCAAAGTCTACAACTCACCCAGAATCATAGAGGCCAGAGGAAATGGTTGGCTAGAGGAAGAGGATCATCGAGGAAGATCATAGAGACCACATTTGTTTAAACCTTTTGGATTCTTCTGGACAAGCCTTGCATTGGAAAGAGGCTTGCTGGGCCATCATCCACATTCATCAGTGTTCATGTGATGACCACCGGCCCCCGGAGTGGAACCACACGCCGTGGTTGAGTCGTTTCGCTGGGCCGCTTGCTGCGCAGGACTCTTCGCTATGCACCACTGGTGGCATTGAGTCTTCAGCATTGCCCTGGCGAGGTGCGCGAAGAGTCGTGAAGAAGATGCGACTCTTCGTCAGACGACATTCCCAAACATGGCGTACTACATGTCGAGGAAAACATCAAGCTTTACACAATTATATGATCCACATACCCTTTGAGGTGCGGTGATTGGACGCTCTTTTATATACTTGGTCGGTACGGTGGATCCGTGCATCCTTAGGGCAAAGAGGAGCCCTGGTGATCTAGATACCCTCAGAAATTCGGAGAAGATCCTGCTCCGGGACGTTTCAGATCGACAGGAACAGCCTGGAGCAGCTCATGGACGTCAGTCTTGAAGTCTAAGATTCTAAGATTTTTCTATGGCAGATGGTCATCTGAATCTGAAGTCATTTGAATCCATGTTCTTCAGAATCTGAAGAATCTCTGAACAAAACCTGCAGATTCTCTCGTTTGCACCTTATCAATCATTCGTTTGAAGACTCGAACTGAACCTTTCACGGTCTCCAAACCCCTTTCGCTATGGTCTCCATAGCGAAAGACCATGAAAAAGCCGGCTCGTGTTCCGTGCTGGACAAGTGCTGGGCGTTTCATCGGCCTCAGCTGCTGCGACCTCCGACCTCCGTGATTCGTCTATAGATCCACGGAGCCATCGTACCGACCTGGTTCGGTACGACTGGACCCTCCAGTCGTATACACAAGTATGAGAGTCTGGCTTCTTGGGAGGCCTGGCGGCGAAGTCGGGGACGGAAGTTCCTGATTGATGAAGCCTCAACTAAAAGGAGACCTGGTCCCTGGTGGTCAGTGTTTGGGACATGACTGGCTTAGCGGCACCATGCACATCGCGAAAACCGTATCCTTGAGGTGATCTCAGCTTTGCACCTGATCTCCTTGGAGCTGAAGGACAAGGCGGCGCAGCTGCGCAAGCCCTTTTAAGGGCTTGGAGGTAGAGCAAATGAGAGGCAATCTAAGGGACGGTAAACATACGATGAGCGCTTATGGAGACGTAGCAGTTGGCTTAGTACATGTGAGCCAAATCGGAGCCCTAAAGCCCTCACGCAGCATGGGGGGTGACGGTGAAATGGTTTGCACCGTGCCCTCGACCCGTGGACCGACCGTCTCCTTCCACCCTCCGTCGGTGAGTGAAGCCCGAGTCAGTCGCAGGGCGCGGGGGACCACGGAACGAGACGTTCGAGCCGCGAAAGCGATCTGTTTTGGGTCCCTCATCGAACACAGAGTAGTAACTTCGGCAGATCCAAGTGACACACCATCCCACCCAGTGGGTCACCCGGGTCACCCACGAATCGCCCTACGTTACACGCGACGAAATCCATGGGGGGAGCCAGGCTCTGTCACTCACTCCTGCAGTTGCATGTAAGGTCGTGTGAAGTTGACCGACCTGTCCCGTTATTAGGTATTATTAATGTTCAACACCAAAGTTCCAACCCCGTCTTTCAACTGCACCCTATAGTGAAGATGTCAATGAGACCTGCTATTAGGTCTACACTGACTGTAGATTATATATTAATAGGTATTCTTCATGTTCTAATTGAACTCATTGACCATGGACCATGGACGTCAGGTGACCTTGTTACAGAATGCGCTGCTGCCGGGTGTGGGACCTCAGAGGTCCGTGCCGTCCGGTGCTTCACGAAGCGACCTCTTTGAAGCAACCGGCGCTTATGATCTTCGGCGCGCTGGCCGCCATAGATACAGGGAGCCAAAAACCATTGTTTAAAGCAACAAAAAACGCAAAAGGCAAAGCAAACAAAAAAGGCAACAACAACTGTAGCTGTGTGTGTTTGTTGCTTTTTTGTTAACTTTGTGTTCACATGTTTTCGCTTTATTGTCACGTTTTTTTTCCGCATTTGTTCACGTTTTTGTTTGCATGTTTTTTTCCTAGGAGCGTACATAAGTGCAGAAGTGGTACCAGGGAAAAAACACAAGCGACAAAATGCAAACACAAAGCAACTTGCATTTTGTTTGCCTCTTGTTGCGCTTTGTTTTTGCTTTGTTATTTGCTTTTGTTTTGCTTTGTTTGTTTTCTTTTTTGCAAGTTCATGTTTTTGTGTTTTGTTCTCAAACAATTATTTGATGGTTGGTCATGTATGGCTGCCATTGCTTAACATAAACTTATAGCAACCTACTAGTCTACTTAGTGGGTTATAAGTCGTCCCAACCTACTTATAGCATCTTATAGCCTTGGATTTGAGTTTGGATCCCAAGAGCCTGCTAAGTCTGCCTAAACCTCGGGCGCTTGCAGACCAAAATACGCGGGCATTTTGGGTGGATCATTCTTTTGGCCGGGCGAAAATACAGCGCGCACCACAAACCATGGTGGTGTGTCGCGAATCCGCGCCCTCAACTGGAGTTGGAGGTCTTAAAGACCAGGAGACTGGACCGACAGGTCAAGACCTGGTTTGTAGGGTCAAGAATTCATGAGAAGAGGTCGGCTCCGAAGGCTGCGATGACATCAAGTCGGGTCCAAGGATTCGGAGGGTTGACAGAATGAGATTCAACATGCAGTAGAACACTGGCTCATAGGGTCCTCTAGCTCTAATATACCCACATGGCCAGAGCCTTGAACACATTAACAAACACGGGATCTGAGTTTCAAAGGAGATCGGTCTCGAATCCTTTCTTGTGTGACAACATCCGCTTGACTGTTCACTTGAATCGAGCAAGTCCTCGCCAACCCCCCCCTTCGCGGCACCCCCATCCGCCAACCCCCCCCTACACCCGCCCCACCTCGCTCGCTTCGAGAGCGCTTCTCCCAGGTGTGCAAGTGGCCCCTCCAGCGCCCAAAGACGATTGGCTTCAATGGGGTCCTTCCCGTGGGGTCGTTCCTTCCTGAGGCGTTCCCGTCCGCGGGGCCGGGTGGCTCCGGAAGCCTCGCCCGCCGAGGGGCCGCCTCGGTCGGACGTCCGTGCGATGTTGTGCAATGTTGGATCCGATGGACGGGTTCCAACGAGAACGCACCGAACGTGTGCTCACAGACAGTTACGACAAGTAATGACAATGAAGTACAGTCCATCAAAGTTTTTATCACTTGGCGGGTTGAACATTGATGTAATTAATGTATTGTTAATTTTGTAGTTTAAACATGGGGTTGAAGCCACGCCGTGATATGATTTCGATCCGCCGACGACCTGAATGCACGGAATGCGCGGAGGAGGATGTGCTGATCTTCCACTCCACTTGGCGTACTTCTACGACAAAACATTTCAAAACAGATCCCAGACACGCCATGGGACTGGCATATTTACATTGACTCATTGACCCCCTTTTCATCACTCCCAGTATAGTAAATATGCCAGTACCATCGGTCGTGTTTGGAATGTTTGTCGTTCTGTCATCATCCAACGAGAGGGCGGACGTCGTTCGTTTCGCTCGGGCGGACGCCGTTCGTGCTCGGCTTAGACCTTCGTGCTAGACTCGTCGACCATCGGTCCCCCTGGTCAGAGTCCAGGACAGGTGAATCCAAGCCTTTTTGGTTTAGAACATGGTCATTTGCCCACTAAGCTATGAAGAGATGAAGAGATGGAGCTTTTCGAGGCTTGTTGGTTCACCTACCACGTTCACCTGCCATGTACCCGTTTTTTTTTCTTTCAGGAAGAACGGACCCCCGAGGGGGTTCCAATTCAGTGATTCTTCGGTCGGACCTTGGTTAAAAGCTCCCGTGGGTGTGGCGCGATCTCTGACAGGTGATCCTGAGACCTGACGTGCCCGGTGCGAAGCTTGCAGTCCGATGTGTGTCGTTTTGAATCGAATCCATCAGCATTTGGAGAAGATTGGAGAGCTGTGCAAGTTTGTGTAGTCCAGTTTTCACTGGAAGCATCACTGAGTCACTGACTCAGGGTTTGCGGCGGGAGAATTCCGGTCAGACTGCTTTTAGTTACTGAAGGAGGAACACAACAGATCAGGTGGTACTTCATGGTGCAAATTAATCTGAAGCCATTTTGGTTGAATCTGCAGCTTCTTCCATTTCGGGGCGACACTCTCTTCCTTTGCTCTTTTGTTCTCCGACTGCAGATTTCTGATGGAAAAGCTCATTATGAATCTCTTGCCAGGCCACGAGAGCTCGGACGATGGAAGTGCTGCGGCCAGCGATGCAGACGCGGCTCATCCTCAGGCTCCTGGCTGCGGAGAAGTGACCACCGAGGCGGAGCTGGAGCAGCTGGAGGATCTTCATTCGAGGCCGAAGGACCTACCGCCGTGTAGTGGGGAATTGGTAGTGGGGAGCACTCCTCATAACCACATGAAGGAACAGGGAGAAAAACGTTCCACAGCACCTGATTCATGGGATGGCTTCAGGGGAGTGGATGGTAAGTCGACTATCATTCATCCACCCTGCGCAGAAGACATCGGCACACTGATCGCAGAGCACATCGGCACCGCTCGCAGCCATGATGGTTTGGGTCGAGTTTCACGGATGAGGCTGTGTCAATCAAGTTACACTCCCTGAAGTGATCATGCAAGTGGAATCCGAAACCAAAAATCTGTTTGTGGAGGAACATGGTTATCCAAAGAACAAATATCCATGCCATGATTCTTTCAGGGAGTTATAAGTACAGTATAAAGTACATATGATCCCGTTTCCTCTTTCACCGTAGCTGAGTTTGAGTGTATCCATTTCTTCTCACAGTGACTGGCAGACAACTCCCTTCGCCCATCTTCGCCCCGTCTCGACCGTGCCCGGATCCAAACTGAAAAGACCGGATGATGCTTACCCCTACCCTCTAACTGTGGACACGTCATGATGAGTCGCTCAATAATATGATGCCATCCATTTCATGATTTCATGATCCAAGCGGCTTCTCCGAAGCAAATCTTTCTTATGTACCCAGATGACATGACCGGGAGCATATTCTCATGTATGCCTCGCATGCACAAAAGAGACTGCATCCAAATGTTGTTTGTTTGTATAGTTGAACTGATCTTCAAAGGGGCTTGGCTCGTGAAACAAACCATCAAACTGGCCAGGCAGTCGGAGATGGAGTCAGCTGCCGAAGGGATCCGCTGCTTGACCGTGCGTTGTGCCCACATGCCGGAGAACAGCAAGGAGACCCGTTTGTTGCGGAAGGCTGTCAGTCACTTGGCCCTTCTTGTTTGGGTGGCGGCATGAACACGGGGGGTCAACTGGCATTACCTCAAAGGACACAGGACCTGACCTGGATGACTGGAGGCGTGGGGACATGTGGGTGGCTCGAACCGGGAGACCCCGCACTTGGACCTCCAAGAAGGAACATTGACCCCAAGTCCCTATGTATACACACCCATGCGAAGAGATTATAGAATGTGTCTTTCTTTTAAAGGAGATTGAAGGCTTTGGGGCCTCCACTTGCTTGTCCCTGCATGGTCGATGCCGGAATCAGCTAGCTCGATAGCTCGGAGACATCTGGCCCTCACCAGCAGTGGCCCTCACCCAACGGGACGAAGCCTAGGAGCCTCAGGGAGGAAATGCTTGTTTTAGACAACTTTTTGCCTGATGTCTTGTGGTTACTGGAATCCTGGGTAGGCTCCTCCGAGAGTCTATTCAGGTGATGGTGCCAAGAACATCATGAGTGGCCTGGATTCTTCGGCGTCCGCATGCCAGACGCAACTCTTGGACATCCTGGACTGTGGAGAGCGCAGCTCGTCGGTCTTGTCCGAACATTTTGGGGCAGGCAAGTGTGAAGCAAAAGTATTTTGGAGTTCTCGACGGGGTGCTCAATCGTCCGTGTTCAATGTCCCGCCAAAAGTCAAGTGGCCAGCTGTTGTCGGACTATGTCTCCAATAACCTCAAGAGTAGGCACTGGAAAGCAGGACATGTATACAGTCGAAGGGAAAGGTCACCAAACCCAGCCGTGGGTCTGCCCAATGGAATCCCAAATTCAATTTTGACTTTGCTAACTCCGACAAGCTGGAACTAACTCCGACAAGCCGGAAGAGCTCCATCCAATTCGCCAAATATCCGACCTCTCGTTTGACCCAGGTCGACAGTATGACTTGATGATGGCCTTGACGAAAGGTGGCCATGGTTGTCGCGAGCTATTCCAAGCAGTTTGGCAACTACGGGACCGCATTGACCAAATCTTTGATTTGGCAGGACCTGCCATGGATGAAGGTGTTTGGCCATGGGTCGCAATGATAAATTTATGTATATAGAGTAAATTTGATTAAAGCTGTACAAGCTGTAAATTATTGGGAGTCCATATACTATACATATATATATATTTATATCAAAACGTCACCAACATCATTTCCCCAGCAAGATCAGAGTTGACCACCAGCAACGTTGGTTGAATGGTTGAACAGCTCATTGAAAGGTCTCAGGCGTTTGTCTCATATTGGTTGAGAGCTTTCCTAATAAACATCATCCTTTGTTAGAAAGGAACATGTTTCCACCCATCGCATTTCTTGGACTCCAGTTTGCATCGAACAGTCAATTAGTCTGATAGTAGGTGCGCTGCTCGCTTTCTGAATCTTCATGTTTAAGATTCATGTTTTTTGACCGGAATGTCGAAGTGCTGATCTTTTGCAACAATTGTTTCTTGTTCATGCAATGTTCCTCCCGCAGGATTGAGTCAGGGTGCAGGCAGCAACCTGAAATACGACAGTCGCTGCATCAAGTCTGAGCTGGATTGTCTCCAGCAGGTGATTGCAGATTTCAAGAAGCTCGAGCAGAGGCTTTGCAGTTTTTGTGACCCCGCTCATCGAGAAGCTGCCTTTAAAGCCATCCAAGCTGCCAGCAACCAGATTTTGAGCTCTGACATTTTGGGGGAGATCGGTGGAGTGTGGGAAGAACATCAGAAGTTTCAAGAGAAGCAGAAGGATTTGGAGACGAAGAGAGGCGAGGAGACCGCCGAGCTCAAGCTGAAAGAAGCACAGGTGGACTTCTTGAGCAGGAAGTTGAGCGCGGCCAAGGATAATACCGCATGGATCAAGGAAATGTTGAAGCAGAAACAAGAGGAACATGAAGATTTGAAAAGCCGCAAAGAGAATTCGGCGAAGGACTTCATTTTTAGATGTCACGGAGCCAAGGAAGAAGCAAAGCGGAAGAAACAGGAGCTGGCGGACAAGATGGAGGAGGATCAGAAGACGAGCAGAGCTCCTTTGGATGATTGTGAGGAGAAAATCAGGAATCTTCAGAAGGACATGCTCAACCTCGATAGGATCAACATCAATCACATCATCATTGCCTTGGACAATAGTGGAAGTATGGCAGGGCAGCGCTGGAAATCTGCTTGTAAGGCAGTTGAGGCGTTTCAAAATGCATGTGTGAGTAGAGGTTCTATCGACAAGGTGAGCATCATTCCCTTCAACAGTGATGCAAAGTGCTTGGTACGAGCTGCTCCAGTGGCCAACAAAATGGCAGACAAGCTGCGAAGGGAAGGATGTGGCGGTGGAACTTGCTTTGTGTCTGCTTGGGATCAAATAGCTGAGTGCATTGAAAGTGAGCCCAAGTTCGCAGCCATCTTCGTGGTTTTCCTCACCGATGGCTTTTCGCAAGACATTCCTGAGGCTACAGTCAAGGCTGAGGCGCTCTTTGAAGCTGCTGGGCGGCAGGGTAGGCAGATGTCTGCATTCTTCGTGCACATCAATGAGCCCGGCTTTGAACCATGGCCAGTGGAGCATGTCGAAACGACTTTGCAACCCTTAGTCAAAGCTGCGAATGGAGGCAGGGTCCAAGTGGACTATTTGGACCAGCATATCTCATTGTTGCAAGTGGTCCAGTCGCAAGACCTGGTACCAGCCTTTGAGAGATTGACCAGCCTGGTGAACCTGGAGAAATGCATCTTGGAAGCTCGTATGGCCATGCTGAGGGACATGCAGAAGGAGTACACCACCAAGTGCTCTGAACATTACCAACAGCTGAAACAGCACTACGAACAGGAGGTAAAAATGTTGAGCGACGTCGCCAGCAAGGTAGAGAAATCAGGAAAGCATGACAAAAACTACTTGTGTGGTTTGTATCAGTCGCTGGAGAGCACAGTTCAAAAGGAAATCACACAGCTGCAAACATCCCTCAACAAAGCAGAAGATAGTGAAGACGCCCTGAGAAAGAAGTTTGTTGAATGTGAGAGCAAGTACAATTCGTGCCTGCAATACTTTGAAAAGAGTCAGCAAGACTATGAGACCAAGTCAGCTGAGCTGCAGAAACAGTGCCAGACTCATTTGGCACAATTGGAACGCATTCATGAGAAGCAGAAGAAGCTCGTGGACCGCTTCGGTTCAAGCAACACTCACGTTTTGCAGCTTCAGCTTGAAAGCCTGCAGAAGATGAAGGAACAGCTGGCTCGGAATAACATTATGGAAGAGGACAGTCTAGTAGAACTGAAGCGGAGTGTTCTTTTTTTGCAATTTGGACGAACAGAAACTCCTAAGATAATTGATTGTCGGAGGGTCCACGAATCTCGAATCGTTTTCAAGATAGGGTCATGGGTCAAGCGCCAGTTTCCTGTTGCACTTGCAGGCGTAAGAAGTTGGAGGGGGTGAAGTTCGCTCTCCGGGCTTCCTTGTTTGGAGATTGTCTAGCCCAATTGATGTTTATTATATATAATTATATATGTATTTACTTATTATATTTAGTTTTGTATACGAATAGTTTTCATTGTCGGACATTGTTTGAATCACCGACGGTTATACATATTCTCCGACATGTTGAAGGTCGTTCAAGCGAACACAAGACAATAAAGATTTATATGCTGATCTGGGTGAGGCGGCAGTCAGAATTGGGCTGGGTCATGTTTTGGTGATTTTGATGTGATACAGCAGAATGAAGCTTTAAAGCAATAACTTGTTTGTTGCAGCAGGCCTTTTATAGTTTATATCCTGCATGCAGACAGGCTGCACTACAAGGGTGATACCGAGGTGTTTTGGAGAACTACAGTCCTTCTTCGTTCAGAACTCTTCAGACTTGGAATCTGGTGTTTGGGGTGGTTCTGGGAGTATTCGAGAAACCGGTTTGTAGGTGGGTTAAACACTTGGTGCACTTCATGTCATGGCGCGATTGCACGATATTCTTGAGCGTTCCTTGTGCTTTGTTTGTATACTCTCCCGATCTCTGGTTTTTCGCGATGTGTTCATATTCTCATCCAGGACTTGCACTGCATCGTCCGCTGCATCGTGCGGTTCACCAACAAGTTCCAGGACACTTGAAGACTTGTTGGATTATCTTTCCCGCAAACTAGCATAGAACGAGAGAATTGACCGGTGGGTTCGACCACTTTCCTCTACAACCCAATGGCTTTGGGGTTCCATGTAGGCCTCTGCAGGGGATTATTCTCCTCCAAAACAGAACATTTCGAAGTAGAAACTGACCGACGACCTCCCTGGAGTGAACCATGTCGAAAACCGCGGCAGGTCACTTCCGTGTTTGTTCAGGGAAGGTAGAGTGGGTAGAGGGAAGACCCAGATCTGTCGCTTCCTTGGTTGTTTTTGCTGACGGGCGGGCCTCGCCTAGATGGGATGACTCGGGCGAGGACCAGATTGAACAGCCACTTCCACGCGTGGACAGAGTGTCTAAAGCCAAGGCTGGAGCTGAACAGACTGTTTGCTTTGTTGAACAAGTCCATTTAGAAGAGCATCTCCAGACAGAGGATATTAAACTATATGCAATGTCCCTGTTCTGTGCAGTCCTTTTTTCCTTCACTTACAGTATGGACATTCATTCCTTGTTTTCTCGTTCCTTTCGCTATGGAGCTTTTGAGGCAGACGCGTGCTATCAACATGTGTTTGTCAGGATGCTTTGAAGATGATCTTGCAACAACGTGACCTGCAGTACGATGGCGTACCGCAAATGGATATGGAAAGGCTTCTGGAGCATGAGGCAAAGTTACAGTGCGATGACGACGATGGAGAGGTTGCCAGGCTGAACGCTTTATAGATAGAATGCAATATTGTGCTGTACGTGTTTTGCGCTGGTCCTGCTTCAGTTAACAGAGTGAGGAGCCACCAGGTGTTTCTAATATGTAATTATTCATGTTTCTTCTCATAACACACACATGTGCATATATGCTGAGAGTGAATACCTGTTGCTTGTGCGATCAAACCACATAGCCTACAACATGTTATCACCATTGGTTTCAAATTCATTGACACATGCTGACACTGCGTTTGTGCTGCGAATGGCTTCATGGTGAGACTGTCAACCTTCAACTGCTTACAATGGTTTCAGAGTAGATGGCACCACCCCCCAGTTTGGTGGTTTATATGTACCCATCTCCAAGGGATGTTTTTTGTACGTTTGGTGCCATCTACTCTGATTCAGCAGTTTGTTGGAAGTCTTTACCTTTGAACTCCTCCGTTCGTGGTTCCGCCTCACATGCAACGGCCTAGGTGTCGAAGATCATTCAGACGTTTAGGGCCACAGGGATTTCTGCAGAGCAGATCTGCGAGGCTGTTGATGCTGAAGGGGAGAAGCTGAAGGAAGCGAAGGAGGAGCTGGTGGGACTCCTACAGGAGAGAGCCTTCGAGGAGCAAGGCTGCCAGTCGGAAGGTGTGGAGAAGCAGCTTAAAGGGAAGAAGAAGGAGCTTCAAGGAAAGAAAGAGGAGTTGGCCAAGAAGGAGCAGGAGATGAGAGAGTCCAAGAGGAAGAAGAAGCAAGCCAGGAGTAATGTGAGCACCAGCGCAAGCGAGGAAGAGGACGGCTGGGAACTCATTGACAATTTGGAGAATGAGGTCCAAGCCCTGAAGGAGGAGAAACAAAGTCTTGAAGGTGAGTTGAAAGAACTAGAGAGTGACTTGAAGACCCTGAAAAAGGATCAGCAGGGGATTTGCAAAGACTTGAAGCCTTGCTGTCGTGTCTTGGACTTTGTTGTGGATGCTTGCCGCACGGCCTTCTTCGAACTCATTGCAGAGAAGGCGGGACCCTGTCGGGACCGGTTGTGGTTGGGACCGGTTGCTCTTGCGTGATGGGAACAACAATGGTTTAGAGCTAGATCGGCGGACATATCACCATGGGAAGCACTACGTGTATATAGATTGAAAGGACCATTGCAATCATGTTGCTAGGTCTCTTTTGCTTCAGTTGATGTGAAAGAGAGATGTGATATGCCTGTTTGCTCCCAACTTGCACCAGAACCCGTGCAGGAGAAGTTTGCCTTGAAAGCCATCTTCGAGTCTTTTCAGAACACGGTGAGTGGCCCCATGAAGGTCTTTGCGAAGATGACTGATCAGGCCAGGGAAGTCTTTGAGCACGACGTCTCAGTGCCACTCTCCTCTTCAAGAGTGGTCTGTGACATGGGCAGAACGACCTTAGCGGTAGAAGATGCGGAGTAAGTCGGTGGCAATCGTCACCCGTTTTTCCGAGAAGCCATGCAAAAGACCATGTCTTTCGGCTTGGTCGTTGGCGATGTTCCCATGTCTTCCCGCAGTTTCTGGATCCTCCTATTGTTCTTTGTGAGCATAGTACGAGAAGCCTTACCAACTGGCAGGCCACCAAGAAGCCTTAGTGTTCTGCTGCGGGGTATCCAGCTCTTTGACTCGGCAAAGAGACTGCACTGCTCGTTCCCCAGCGGATCGTCCCGACAAGTGGACGACGCAGCGGTGACCTGGTGATGTGCATGATCGCATGTTAACGTAATTTGTGTTCATATTCTTTGCATATATCCTGCATCACCTGCCTGATTGTATATCACAGTGCCGGACTTGGTGCACCACCATCGTTCCTGCTTTCGATTCTAAATGGCACTTCCATCACCGGCAACACCCACTTTCTTCGTGGGTCCGAACACGCGGAGCGTCCTCGCTTTTTGAGCCCCGAAGTTCGGGAAGAAGCAAGCCTAAGCACGTGATGGCGAGAGGAGTGGAATGAAACGTTTTCTTTTTGGTGTGCCCCTTTCTTCTCCCTTATGCCACAGTGCCGGACTTGGTCCACCACCATCCTTGCTTTCGAAGATCGGCTGGCGCTTCCCGCGCGACCCAAGTCGGACGATGTGCTCGGCTTCCAATTGAGTTCCGGCCGCGCGGCCGCGAGGGGCCGCTCCTCGTTTGCCCCCGAAGTTCGGGCAGAAGCAAGCGTAAGCACGTGTGATGGCGAGAGGTGTGAAAGAAACGCTGAAGCGCGGCCGCTATTTTGCAGTGGTGTGGAAGACATGTGTCAATTGATATACATTTATATTTAATAAGTGTTGAAGAAGTTTTGTAAGGCCAACAACAAACAGTAAAATATCCGGCATCTATCGATCACTCTTCTGACATTTACGCATCCACTCTGGACTCAGCCACTCCGTCCAAAACGATGACAGCGTGGTAATTTGAACACATTTTGAGGGTCGGACATCACAAGAACTTGGTGTTGCTGTGATATCTATTTTGCCGCCTATATGAGTGAATCCCGTTCCGTGAAATCAGTTGTGTTTGTTGACTCGCTTCCGAACAAGCAAGTCCACAAGAAAGATGCTCTGAATCGTCCCCCACGGAGTTCCAAGGTTGTGGAGTCATCGCAGCCTTGCTTGAACTGCAACGACTGATCGAGGCAGGGTTTGAAGTAGCAACAAGCTTTGCCCATGAGAGAGACATGGATCAAATTTATGACTGTCAGCCTGATGAGGAGTCAACAAGTCTTGATATGAACTGGACGGATTCTTCTAAGGAAAATTGTTTCTTTAAGGGGATGTATTTGGAATGTGCCAAAGGAGACAGATGGTTCGTGGAGGTTGTGAGACACAAGACGGTCAAAAGCACGTTTGAGTAGCTTGACTACTTGCCATGTCCTGCAACCGTCAGCAGCCCATGGTGATGTTTGTTGGTTTTGATTTGTTTATTTTTATTCTCTATTGTGCCAAGAGGGTTTGAATCAGCCCTATATATTGCCATAGACCGCCAATCCCATATGTACCAATACAGGGTCCTCCCTCCCTCTCTAGGTTTGGGTGGATTTCCTTGGCATGTCCTGGGGATCCTCGACCCTCGGGAGAAGCGAAACACAGTGGTCGTTGAAGCCGAACAAGTCACCCAGATCAGTGGTCGTTGATGCTTTTGGGATCTGTGCAGTCAATGCGAGAATCCATGTACTCATCGTGTATGGCATGTATAGTTTTTTTTTTGCATTGGCACAGTAAGGGGTGACATTTGAAGGGCTCCATGTAGGTGTAGGTTCCAGTCCGATGCATACAATGGAGTTGTGTCATGTTCTTTGTGGCATCAACACAAAGCCCCACCGGGCACCACCCTGACTCGCTGGCGACCATTCCCTGAATGTCTGTGCTCAGGCCTTTGGGACGCTGTTCGCCAAAGGGACGGCATTCGATGTGTCCAAGGGGAATTGAAGATCTAAAGGTCCATCGAAGACCCATCAGTTGCTGTGTTGTGTCCATTGCCGGGCCTACCCCACAGTTTTGGGTGGTATATATGTAGCCGATCCCGAAGACCCCAAACTTCTGGGCGAGGTCTTGTGAATGTGTTCCATGCAGCGGGACCTTGGATATTTGGAGAGACCGCTTCGAAAGTTTTTTGTCTTCAGCTCAGCTTCCTACCATCGATGAGTTTTACGGGAGAAAGTGCGGTTTGTGGCACATGCCGACTGGCGTTAGTCCAAACAAATGATTTGAAGGAGTAAGTGCTCGCTTCCACGAGATTGTTTGAGCAGACTCGCGACTGGCCATGACCGGCCATAAGATGCCATAAGGGTGTGATTAAAAAGAGTTGGAGGCCTATTTACCGTACTTAAAAGAGTACATTGGCACAGAACACATGTAATGTATCTATATCGTTGTTTATTTTTGAGTGGGTAGTGCACCTGTCCAATCCATTATTGTGAAATCACTGCATTGAGGTATTTGGGAGAAACAAGGAGACATTGGTCAGATTTGTTTGAGCAGGTGGAATCAAGCAACTACGCTTTGGACCTTGGTCTTGTTGTTTCCTCAAACAGTGGGTGAAAACAGTTTTTCATCCAGAAGGACAGACTCCACAAACACATGGAAGTTGGGAGGATCAATGCATACCGGTCTCCTGTAGAGGTTTTTGGCCTTGGGCCAGGTCTCAATTGATGACCTGTTGGAGAAATCACCCTGAATACTGCGCCATGGATAGATCCAATAGAATTGTTCGGAGTTGCTCGATCATAGAAATTCGGCAATGGACTACAGTAGTTGTTGAAATGACCATGATATGCCATGAAGCTTTCAAGCTTTGCTTTACACCATTTTTTGAACATGCTGTCTCCAAGTCTTGTTCACCTCCATCAGGACATCGACTTTCTCTGGGGATAATCCTGCCTCGGAATCGATCACGACGGCAGTCCCCAGCCCACGACCAATGGTACTTGCATGTATGTCCTATTCCAGCCCAACACGATGGTACCTGAGACGACGGCCTGCAACGGAATAAGCACCCAAAGGGGTCAAGAGGAGCCCTGGGAGGTGGATAGAGCCAACACCTAGCACCCATCCTGTACCAGGCGCCCGAACCAAACCATGAAAAACAAAGGTTTTCATATACAAAAACCATGTGTTTTGCTAGGGAAAGTCAGGTTTTTGATGGTTTTGAGGGCCCCTGGTACATATTTACATACAGGGGGTGATTGAATTCAGGGGGGACATCTACTAGCAGTCCTCCAGGACTGCATGTCTAGGGCGAACTGGAAGATGAAAACGCCGGCATTTTCATGGGGTAAATGTATGTAACGATTCTTTGGTCCATGCATGGTCTAGAAGTGGATGGTAAATGAGGTAGTAGTCAATTGTGGCATATCATATCACCTTTTCCAGTCCGGAAGGCCTGCGGAAGGTCGTTTCAAAAATAGAATCCAATTGTTTCCAAGACAGCACCGCCGAAGATGCTTTTCGCTCACGAAAAGCCAGGAATGGACCTTTCGTCAACGCTGACCAACTCTTCTTTCGGGTTCGGGCGGATGACTCACATGGATCAACCTGGGGATCAATGGTTAGGTTACCTAACTCAGGAGTTACTGTCCAATGGTCAGGTAACTCTTCGACAAAAATATCGTCATGTCTACTGGGCTCGCCCTGCCCGACGAACCTCCACACCCGCGCAGGGCGGAGGTTCGTGGTCACCAGGATCCATTCGATGGAGGTGGGCGGTCATGCGGGCACCATGGGCAGTCACGTGTTCTCGCTACAGAGGTGGAAGTCACATGGCCCAAGAAAAGATCGGTATGTATGGACCCTTCTGGCACACAGCCCAAGCACCTGCTTAGAAGGTATGACTGGAAGCCTTGGCATCAATCAAAGGTTACTTACATTCAATGCAAAGACTTTTAGTCTTTGTATGTCTTTGTGCTTGAAAGATGACCCCAGTTCCTATGAACCGAATCGGCCCCTTAAGGTGCCGCTTGGTGCCGCTGGGTCTTACAAGTCTTTGACCTGTGGGAGAAGGAATGAGAACGAGAAGATTTGAGGTCCTTTGGCTCAAGGTAGTTGAAGCAAGACATAATTGTTATCCTCATTATTTTGTCGTGCGTCCCCATGGAAACTCGTTGCTGCTTGGTTGAGAACGCTTGATCGGCCTACCATGGGTTTACCACTGGCCTGTTTGTATTCTGATACTGAACATGACTATTCCTCAGACTTGTTTGGGCATTCGGCATGTTTGCGTCGTCACCTTCTTTGAAAGATCTTGAACGGGTGGATGATCTAGGTGAAGCAGGAATGTACACGTTTGATGACCAAAACCCCAGCCCCAAGGCCTTTACATGGTTTTACTATTATATAATTCATGGCTGGGGGGATGATTCAGCAAGAGAGTCTCTTGACTAAGGGGGGAACGTGTATGACTCACAGCCAGCGATCTTGAGATCTTTGAGCAGTGTGGCCGCAGCTTACGCTGCGTTCGCCACTGCAGCCGCTGAGGCGCCTGGAACGTCACAACATGTTGGGATGGCGGTCGTTTGGTCGTTTGGGATTCTGTTTTTAAGTGAGAGGCAGGGACAAGAGACCAACAGCTTTGTCATGTGAGAGGAGGAGGATTACTGTATACGTAGGATTTTTGGCGATCTCGGCGGATTTAGCAGGTTTTTGTCTCGAAGCATGGTCCATGTTGGCCAGAACAAAAGTCAAGGCACGGTGCTGGGTATTTGGCCGGGATGGCGGCTCGGGTCTTCCTGAGCCAAGGCCTTTTTTCCGGGAAGTGCAGAAACTTGATGAGGCACCACAAACACATATACGGACGCTGAAACTTAGGCATTTCAGGGGTAGTACCACCTACGACCTATCTAAGGTTGTATACTGTATATATATATATACCAGCTAAGCGGTAACAACCCGAAAAAGTACATTTTTTTTAAACATGTTGATTTTTGCTTTTGGTAGAAAAATTTTTATCTTGAGTATGTATTGAGTAAAAGGGTAGGTATTGCGTAATTGCATAAATAACATTAATTAACATACTAAATAATATTAACTATAACTTGTTGGTCATAACATGCATTGCAGTATACTTG